TTCGAAAGAAGCAGCCTTATATAGCTAGCCCTCCAGTAGTTAGCTATTGCATACCTTAGCACCCTCCGGCTCCGGTCCGTATACCCGTTTTCCCTTGCCCGTGCAGACGTCCGCTGCCGAAAGGATCAAGGAACGCCGGACGGACATACAACTAGTAAGGTAGTAGGCAGGTAGGTAGTAGTATTTCACCATCCGCCTAAAACCAAGAAGCCACCCATTGGCTGGGCGCAAAACCTCCTACCTAGGTACCTGTAGGTAATTAGGCAGAGAGTGTCCGCAGTGGTGACCTCTTCCTCACACCTGCATCCAAAGAACCCTTCCCTTGTCCATAAATCCTTGCAATACATCAACTGCGCTGTCCAGTTGGATCTCGACATTCCGCAGAACCGACCCTCCGTAACAGAAAGGGTTACCGAGATGGCTGATCATCATAAATGGGCATGAGTGTGGGGTGTCCACTTTTTGCATTATTATTCCTCAGCTATGCACGGACGGGAGGGAGGACGGGGATCTCCCCGTGTTTCGAGCAATTAATTGTAGTTGATGCATTGGAGCTTGTAATCTCTACCTAGTCATGCATTGGGGTTACTAGGTCCCACATGAAAGCACAGCGAAGGTTGCCTTGAGAGGATTAGAAAGCCCAAATCTGAAGACCAAGCAGGGTCCGTCGAATGACACACCAGGTTGATTCTGCTGAAGATGTGGAGAGATGAGGACTAGCTAGGTAAGTTGAAGGTAGTAAGTAGAGACTAGGTAAGAGAGTCCGGGTTGGGTTGTGTTCTCCGTGTTTCACGTATAGAGCCAGCACTGCTGTTCCTGTCACGGTTCGGCGGTCCGAATTCCTGAAGAATTGCCCCCGCATTTGCACCATGCATCAGATTGAACTCATTTACCCAGGTGGACAAGGACGGAAGACGCTGACCTCGGGACGCCATGACAGCCACCAGATTAGGTTATTCTATGCAGCAGCTTGGATTACGTGAGGTGGTAAGCAATGGAGGTTATTTAGGCTAGATTATCCTGTTCACGGAATAATAATAGATTGGATTAACTTGGTGTGTACCTGAGCTTGGTAAGTATTTATGTAGGGCTAAGAACATAAGAAAATGACTGTCAAAGTCTGATAGTGGAAAGGAAATGTCAAAAATTAGCAATACCCAGCAGACCCAGCAGCGGCTTCATCACATTCTGCGATAAACTTGCGGATTCCTTCAGACCCCTCGTACTCGGATGAACTCTCCATTATACCATAGCTCATCACCTCAGGGAAGAATGTACGATCACCCAGCTCGCTCACATTAATGCTGGAATAGCCCGAGAGAGACTTGGACGGAGACCTGGCCCACGGATTCGAGCCAAACATAGTAATGTCGTCGAAGCTGAACTCGTGCGTTTGTCGTTTCGGGTATCCAAGAGATGTACGTGCGCCTTCTTCGTCTGACATCATTGCTTGCCAGTCAACCTCTTCGGGTCGCTGCGACTTGTTTGCTTCTCGAAAGAAGAAGTCGTCTGTGTCGCTGGAGGGCGCAACGCTCGGGGCGAAGGGGAAGAGGAGCGCAAGTTCAGCGCCTGTACGGATGTCAAAGTCCGCATCCTGTGTAATCTTCCCTCGCTGAACGCCAACTTCATCGCAAAGTCGCTCAACCGTGTCCGCATCGCAACCCGGGAACTGCACACGTATGGTCGACCTATCTTGGAGCGAGATGGGGAGATCACCCAATGTAGCTAGCCGCTTAAGGTCATTGAGAACAGCGGCCAAATCCTTCAGAGCGCGGGCGAAATCGGCGGACAGGAAGTCCAAAAGGCCATCGGCGTTGAGAGAGTCGGCCTCGGCATCGGCCGGGACGAACTTCTTCTGGAGGCCAAAGGCGGTAATGGTAGGAGAGATCTGGAAGTCGATGAAAGAACCAGGGGCTGTGCGAGGAATAGTATTCATTTTCCGCTCTGCTTCATCCTGAAGCACGCTCACGGCCTTGAACTTCTTGTTCCCCGTAACGGTGTCGATGCCATCAAATCGGACCTTCTGGCCAGAGAGGAAGAAGGCTCGCACGCCCATAGAGACATTGTTGATGACCTGAGCAGGTGAAGCAGGCCCGTGTGAAAAGTACCGAGCGCCCCCAATACGACCCGCGCCGATAGTATAACCTCCTGCGGTGCGACCAAGAGCACCTCCGGTGAGGTTCGGGCGGAGCGTCGAGGCGAAGGGAGCCCGAGTAGTAAGCCGACTGACATTAGCCGCAACGCGAGATGACCGGTACGCAGTTCGATCACCTTGTAATGCTGCTTTGAAGTACGAAGCAACGTACCCCGTCGCACGTGTGGAGAAGTGGCGGCTGCGAGCTTGACGGATGGCTGCTGCTCGGTTGATAGGCTGCGTGGGAGTTATCCGCGCATACGCTGGCTGGAGACGAAGTCCCTGCTGAGTTGATTCTGGGAATTTTGCCCTTACGGCTTTGTATGCCTTCGCATAGGCGAACCTTGAGGGGGCTGTCAGCATGCAGCGAAGTATACAGAGGGCGGTAACTACTCACCTAGCTGCTCTCCAAAGCTTGGGGAGCAGCAGGTGCCCACTGGACGGAGGCATCCTGGTAGTTGTAAACTAAACTCAATAGAGAGAAGAAGACGAACGTGTCACTCCCCAGATGAATATCGATGATAAAGACATGGAGGGAAGACGAAGTGAGTCTGTCTGATGATGAGGGGAGTCAGACCCGGGTGGCTGTGCAGCATGTGATCTGCCTATCGCCACTGCACGTGGCTTGATCCGGTAGAACCGAATCAACCGATGCTCTTTTCTACCCACCTGCAGTGAAAGATATTGTGCAGATTTGACTTATTGGTCGATGTATAGGGCCAGTGAAAATAGCTTTTGGCGCATACTTCTATTCAAAATAAGATTCCTATTGCAATGATGGGGCACGTGGTTGGCTGACGGACCGAAATATATACTTAATTCCCGCTCGAACCCCGACAGAGTGTACGGTGTTTTACCGTTACTTGACTTGCAGTTTACTTCTAAAAACATGGTTCATTGAAGACTAGCAACACGATAGGTATTGGTATTCTATTTCTCGTCTTAACCTGTACTTATCTATTCATCATCACCGAAGAAAACCTTAATAGGAAGCCAGCCGTCACCACAGACCTTGAAACGGTCCTTCAAGTTGTCCAATTGGTTAACCTCCTCATCGGTCAAATCCCAGCCGTCAAGCTCAAAGTTGGCATCAATGCGAGATTTGCTGACCGACTTGGGGATAACACTCCAACCCTTCTGCAGACCCCAGTTGAGCAGCACCTGCTGAGGCGTCTTGCCCTTCTTCTCCGCCAATTCCAGGAGGGTGGGGTCCTTGTAGAGAGGGGAGTTCGTCGATCCCAAGCAGGAGTAACCAGTGGAGTGGATACCCTTGGAGGTGTTGTAGGCGACTAGCTTAGGCGACGGGTTGTTGGGGTGCAGTTCGATCTGGTTGACGGCGGGGACGATCTTGCAGCTCGGGTCGTTCAGGAGGATCTCCAAGTTCCTAATGCCAAAGTTGGACACGCCAATGTTCCGGACCTTGCCAGTGGCAGGAAGCTTCTGCATCTCTTGCCTGTCACCTGATCAGTATTGCTGAACGGAAGCTTTTTAGGACAGAATTGACAGGATTGTGTGGCGTACCAAGTCTTGATAAAGTTCCAGTCAGGAAGGTGCTTGGACTTATCCTCAGGGTCGGTTGAGCTGGGCCAGTGCATGAGGTAGAGATCAACGTAGTCGACGCCCAAGCTCTTGAGAGAACTTTCGATTCCATCGGCAACGCAGTGATGCCAGGTGTTGTCGAGCTTGGTGGTAATCCAGATTTCTTCGCGAGGGACGCCGGAGTCGCGAATACCTTCCCCGACCTCATGCTCGTTACCGTATGCAAGCGCACTAGGATTGTTTAGATATTTTCCTGTTGGCTGCGGAAGAATAACTCACGTGTCGATATGACGATAGCCTTTCAAGAGAGCATTCTTAACAGCCTCTCTGACCTCATTTGGCTTGGACTGCCAAGTACCAAGACCAACAGCGGGGATCTTGTCCCCGGTGTTGAGGGTATATGTCTTCCTACAGTTGAATGAAGAGTCAGCGACTAAACTGGCAATGGACGCGTGGACCGTGGACTGCGATCACATACTTGGTGTTCTGGAGGTTGGACATCTTGATTCTGAGTGAGGGGATGAAGCGCGTTACAATGGAAAGAAGTAGTAACTATGTAGGTTGAAACTTCAAGAGAAGGTTCCAACTAGGAGACGGGGTATTTATGGTGCTTATGAAATAAGATAAGAATTTGAAACCAGGACCACAACATTAAGGCCAAGGCAGGTCCATCCAGCATCTCGGAGGGGCAATGATGCCACCGGACCCATGGAGGGGCACTGAAGCCTTCTCGGGGGGGCGGGGTTGGACCCGCTGAAGGGGGATCCTTTATCCCACCAATTTATCCGCTCTTTTCCCGACTGGATATCGGAGGGACATGGAAGAAACTGGCCGTTGATCCATATCATACAGATACCTATGTGGTGTGTACTGCATTTTCACTATATTTGATTGCGTGTATGAGGGATTTCAGTGTGTCTCTCGAGTCAGGACGGGATGTTGTGAAACTTCTGCCTTGTGCTTTTGTCTCCTCCAAAGCAGTCGCATGCCAATTGCTGCGGCCGTGGGTGCCGCTGCTGTAAGGGAGATCAAGTAATACCGTGATCGGCGACGTTCCAAAGTGACGATTCTATCATTCTCCTTCTACCTTGCCGACCTGCAGGTTCCTGTAGAGTTGAGTGCTGGGCTGTAGGTAGATCTGACCCCAATGAAGGTCCAGCTAATTCTAGGAACTCGCGGGAAACAAGTCAAAGGCTACGTACGCCCTGACTCGATAAACCTAGGATAAATCTAGGACGACTCGGAGAATCGGAGATGCATGGGTAATTGAAGGTTTCCATGTGGCTCGGGTAATATTGAGCGGAAAAAATAAAAGTCAAAAAAGAAACGACACCGGTGAGATTCGAACTCACGCGCCCGAAGGCAATGCCTGACTTGGTTCGGTTAAACCATAGCAGGGCATCGCGTTAACCACTCCGCCACAGTGCCTATTGGTTGAAATATTGCTAATAATAATATCACTAAGAGGTACTAAATTACAGATTTGATAGTCATCATTATTTCCAAGGTAAAAAGGTGCAGCCCGCCTTTTACTGCCGGTTTAAAGTGCGCATCCTGATTAAGGACATGAACCACATCAACTTGAAAAGCTCTGGAAGTAGGAACTCGACTTGTTCTATTCATTATCTCTTATGGTGTGTCCAGTGCAACCTGCCAATTAAATTACCCTACTGGTTTAATTTGTCAAAGTGTTTCTTCTTGCGCGTATTCAATCCCGCAACTCCGCATAGACCTTCTCCATTAGCATCGCATCACCTTCGAGTATTGCTACATGAGGGTCAGACGCTGAAACTCGCCCAATTATTATCTCAGTCTACGTCAAAATGTCTTCAGGGTTTGTTTCGGCAGGGACAGATCAAGAGCCAGTTGAGCGGGATGACGAGTGGCGCCGGGTACAGAATGAACTCGAGGAGCAACGGAGACAAAAGGCAGAACTGGGGAAGCAGGACGGCGGCAAAAGTTTATATGAGGTTCTCCAGCAGAACAAGAGTGAGTAAATGCACTTCTATTGCTGCTGTTGTAATCCAGTCTTTCGAACTCCTGGTTGACGTACCTTGATGATCCTCTTGACAATTCAAAGTGGCCAAGCAAGAAGCCTTCGAAGAAAAGATTAAGCTCAAAAACCAGTTCCGTGCCCTCGATGAAGACGAAATTGAATTCCTTGACTCCATAATGGAGTCTGCCCGAGCCCAGGAAGCCACCGTAAAAAAGGAAACTGCGGAGCAATTGGAGCTATTCCGGCGACAACGAGAGGAGGCAGAAAAGGCGCTTCTTGAGAATACCACAGCGGACGTCGCACCGACTGCCGAAGGAGAAGACTGGAAAATTCCTTCGCGTAAGAAACGACGCGACAAGAATAAAGAATTGCTGATCCCGGGCCGGAAACGAAAGTCCGTTGGTGAGGATACGTCTGAAACTCCTGCGAGGGAACAAGGACCGAATAAGAAGCCCAAGGAGCTTGTTGAGAATAAGAGTGAAAACTCCAGTGCCCCGACTTCAAAGGAGTCTGATCAACCACCTGCCGATCAGAGTGCCAAAGACCTGAAAGCCGCGAATCAAGACCAACCGCAAGTAAAGCAGCCTGCTAGCCCGCCCGCGCCGTCCCTAGGCCTCATCGGCTACAGCTCGGACTCGGAATGATCATATTATAAACTATATGCTAATTACTGGAGGCTATCTGCGACAGCCTCCTACTGTACAACATCAACGTTTGCATCCGGGCGGTTTGTGCGTCTCACCAAGCCCATGGTAAAGAGCAGTGGCCCAAATAATGGCCTGTCATGTTGCGCAGATACCGCATCCTGGGGGACTGCCCGAAAACACTACCATCAATTTATAACTTATAATGAATTCAAAGGATTGGCATTCACCGACCCGGGACAGCATCTGATCCAATCTCGCCCTTTTCGCTCCCATGAAACTATCCCTCTACAATTGGTTATCGCGCAATTATCTTGTTAAAATACACAGTATCATTAGGCACCGCCCTATGAGCTTTGACTCGTGAGAATGTGGTTAGTTTTCGTCATGCGTCGCATAGGCATGCTTCTTTTCCTCCTGTTCTGCAATCCTGCGCTCCAAATCATGCGCCGTATAATTATCCTTCTTCGAGCCTGGGATAATCCATGGGGAGTTTGAGAACAGATAGTTCATCTCCTCAAGCGGCAACTTCTTCGTCTCAGGCAGAAGCAACCAGAAGAACACCGCATTGGTGAAGTTGCAGATGACGAACAAGAAGTAGTACCGGTACCCGACTTCGGACATGGCCTTTGGCGTGACCTGGCCGATCATGGTGTTGAAAGCATAAGAGACCATGGTCGCAATCGAAACGCCTTTTGCGCGGGTATGAGTGTCGAACACTTCAGCGGGAATAATCCAAGTCAAGGGACCGCAAGTGGCCGAAAAGGAGAAGTTATAGAGCCAGGTCATGATGATGAAGCCCCAGTGGGCCCCAGTGTTGTTGACTTCTGGTGGGAACCTGGCTAGTAAGATGCAGGCGATGATGAATGTGACACAGTTGAAAAAGTTTCCAGTGATCAGAGTCGGGCGGCGACCGAAACGGTCGATGAACATCATACACAGGAACTGCCCAACCAAGGCGATGACGGAGTTGATTGCCTGGTATCGCAGTGTCTCGTGGCCCGATATTCCTATTTGTCCATAAATATCGACGGAATAGTACCTGTTTGGATTTGATGCGTCAGAGCTTATTTCATCAAAACACAGGATCCTAGACCGTGACTCACTGAATGGCCGAAACGCCAGTCATTTGGCCTGAAGCTTGCAGTGCGCAGCAGAGGAAAAGACGCCGGAATGAAGAGCGTGACCTGAAAAGCTCCAAATAGGACTTGGCCTCTTGTTCGTGTTCACGGTTGACTGTTTCCTGAATCTGGGCGAATTCTGCTTGGACCCAGGGATCATTCTCATCGCCGTGAGCGTGGAGCCTCGCCAGAGTCTTCAGGCCTAGTTCATGGCGGCCATGGTCGATAAGCCAACGGGGCGACTAGCACATCATCACACGTTAATTGCGGTGGGAGACGATCCGGGAGAGGTAATATCTCACCTCAGGGAAAAGCATGATCATTAAACCAAGAAAGACGGCCGGAACTAGCTGGAGGCCAAGAGGAACCTGCCACTGCGCATTGTTCGTTTCTGAGAAGCCAATATATGTTCCGTACGAAATCCAGGCGGCGCAAAGACTTCCTACACCAAGCATGAATTGCTGGAGCGCAGTGACACGTCCGCGAATATCCGGATGGCAGATCTCTGCCTGGTATAGAGGAATGATCATGGTGAGGAAACCAACCCTAAATGGTTGAGCAGTCTTATCTATGATTTCCAGTTGGGGATCGGCACTTACCCAATGCCGGCAAAGAATCGCCCACTATACATATAGTCGAGGGTCTGGGCACCTGCTTGAAGAGCGCCACCAAGGCAGAAGACGATACAGCCCACGATAATAGTCCAACGTCTTCCGAGCATATCTCCAGTGGGTCCAGCGAATGCAGCACCGAAGAAAGCGCCTGCGGTGAACAGAGATACGACCGTGCCACTGCAAGAGCAGGTCAATACTGTATCCCTTGCGCCTTTAAAATCGTGAAAAACTTACGTCTCATTGTCGGTTGGCTTATGGAAGGTCATGTTGAACGAACCGCTAGCAATCACTTCCGCAATAACTCCCAGATCGTCTGCACCCATAGCCATGGTTAGTTTACCGCATTGCTGTCGAACAGCAAAGTCAAGGATTAAACGCACATCCATAGAGGAAAGATCCAAGGGAGGCGAAAACGCCGACCAGGAACTGAGGTGGTTGTAAGTATCAGCTGCGTTAACCGGATATCCGAAGCATGGCAAGCGTACCTGGTACCAGGCAGGTGAGAGACGCATGGTTGAAAGGTGCGTTCAGCAATCCAAGGATGAATTCCAACGCCTGGCTGAACTCGACAGATTCAAAAATCCGGAGAAGAATTGCGGGGGACAAAGGCAGAGGACGGGGAGGAGGACCCGCCATTCTTAAAGAATCCGGGGATGGAACTACACGCGTAACAAGTTACAACTGACGACCGGAGTGCCGGGGTGGATGGCATGCCAAGTGCGTCTACACCGCACGGCGAGAGAATACTACAGCTTTGTCACCGCCGCTGCTAAGGCGAGGCCCGCCGGGTTAATCCCGGAAGGACATAGAGACGAACACCTGGTACGATAGTCGAGAAGCCTCACACCACACGCACCCCGTCGGCCCAAGACCAACAGCACGACCATGACAAGGAACAAACGCCAAGGCCACCAGCTACCGAACAAATGAGAGCTCTAGCCCCGAACTGTGGGACCAAAGCAAGACGTTGGCCGATTTTGCGGAGAACCGAAGGGACAGATCGGTGTGCTCTGCAGGACGAGCCGGGCCTTGAAATGGTCGTTGCTGATTGACGGAATATCTCACGGTCTGGCCTCCGCTCTCACCACCAAATCAACGGCGCCAAAAATGTCGCCAGTAGTATCCAACCCCGCAGGAGTTTGGAGCAATCTATTTCCTGCGAGGTCAAGAATTCCCCCGCAGGGGATTTGCCTGTTCCATTTGGACCACATTGCGAGGTCCGCTTGGTCTTAATATTAGCTGGCCAGTCGCCTCGCCTTGTCCGAACCTTCAACAGAAGCACTTCTTTATTGACTTTCCTTTCCCCTACCAATCAATACTCGGTTTCCAAATTGCTTCGAGCATAGTACTTGTTTTTGTAGTGTCGACGCTATGACCACCTTCACCAAGCTCAGCGAGCAGGACGCTCCGTCAATTTCCATCCATCCGGAACGCCGCATCTCAAAAATCAATCCCAATATCTATGCGGGGTTTACAGAGTATGCCCCCTTTTCTGTTTTGCCCTAACCTAAGTTGGAGCCTCAGCAAGCTTACCTTGCTTCCAGGCACATGGGCCGATGCATCTACGGGGGCATCTATGACCCTGGTAACCCACTGTCGGACGAGGATGGGTTTCGGAAAGACGTTCTCGAAGCCCTGAAGGAGCTTAAGATCCCTGTTGTTCGTTACCCTGGCGGTAACTTCACGGCAACCTACCACTGGATCGACGGAGTCGGGCCAAAAGATCAACGTCCTGCAAGGCATGCTTACCTTAATATCATACTCTTTCTTGGCTCCATTGGTCTCTATTCTAACTGTCACCACAGGCCTGAACTTGCCTGGTTAGGCACAGAGACGAATCAGTTTGGAACCGACGAGTTCCTGAAATGGTGCGAGGTCCTTGGAACCGAGCCCTATCTTTGCCTGAACATGGGCACTGGTACACTTGATGAAGGTGATTTAACCCTTTGCTTTCAAGCGCAAAGCATCTAACGGTCGTTTCAGCTCTTGCGTGGGTTGATTACTGTAACGGCACCCGTGACACTTACTACGCCAACCTTCGGCGCAAGAATGG